TGTCAGTCTGTTGTGCTAGCATTGCTGCTGTTTCGGTTGCCATCTCCTGGTGGGGAGAACTGAATCTAGCTCCCCCCTCGCCCCCTTCGGAGGATATCCTGACTATCCGGCTAAGGAGCAACTTGAGCTTTCTTGGTTTTTCTCTCTGTGACTGTCCACACGTGTTACACCTAGGAACTAGTACGAGTAGGAGGGAGTGGCGGATAGATGCATTTCACAACAGTATTCCTGATGGTCTGTTTTTGGAAATGAGGAGGTACAGATTTTCACGTATTCCCATATTCACGACAGAGTTTTGAGGCAAGGACTTCCACATCTCAGAGCTTGGATCTCCTTTACATCTTGGTTTTGTGTGAAATATAGGCATCATTGGTGGGCATTACTGCTACCTGTTCTTCCTTTCTAGCAGTCTTACACACCTGACCCTTTGTTTCCTTCTTCTCTTAACTACCAGAAAGGAAACTGTTTGTTTCAGCTGGAATGGAACATTTCAGTTGACACAAAATGATTTTTTTTCCCCAGATTTTTCATTTTGATGAGAAAAACGGAAAAGAAATGTGAATTCATTTTGATTGGACCTTGTTTTCTTCTTTCCCTGTGGTGATTTGGTTTGACTGCTATGCTGTCATCAGCTAGGTTCAGACCAAAATGCCTGCCCGGTGGCGTGATAAATTTCAACATCCCTTTGAACTTTGGATGTATAGCAATGAGATTCGTTATCAGATGCGTGGGAGTCAAAATTAGAAAAGAATTGGAAAGGGAATACGTGCACACAGGAAAGCAAGATTCTCTGAGTGTGCAACACGTGCTTCTGAAGAGCTTTCCCGTGTGCTGTATGTATACTCTTACTAAAAGGGCATCTGCAGAGGGTCTGTTCACTCCTTAAAGCGCCTGTTTTCATGGTAATTCTTGGGGAGAAAACCTGATTTTTTTTTTTTTAAACTATTGTTGCATTGCTCTAAGTGGAAACGTAAAGTGGGAAGCAAATAGATTTACTCTGCGTGGGAAATTACAAGAAAAACCTTATTTTTGCTTCAGAATACAGACCCATCTATTAAAAGCATAAACTGTTTGAGCAATTGCGGTTCTGTGACGCTTTGCACGGTAGGAATTAACGTTGCCAAAAATCTTGTGTTTTTCTTAAATTTATTTTTTATTATTGTAGGATGCTTTTCAGGTAAGTCCTCTCTTTAATTTCAGATTAAGAGTTGATTTGTGGTTTGTTTGCTTTTTTCTCGATAGAAACATGAAGATACAGACTGCCCATGTGTCATGGTTTCATGTCCTCATAAATGTAGTGTTAAAACACTCATGAGGAGCGAGGTAAGAAGTCGTGTCCAATATTGTGCTGAAAAATTAAATAATAATTTAGAATTTTTTTAGTAAGATCTCGCAAGAATTTTGCCAGAAGCCATTTACTTATTAAAATGTGAGATCTAAAGAAAAGCTTTTTCTACCACACAGTTAAGTGTGATAACACTCATAATTTTCCAATAAATCATTAAAAATATCTCCTGCAAAAATTAATCTCTTGATTTTCTATCTTTATTACACTCGACTTGTCCAAGATTAGCGCATGTCTTTCTTGCTTTCATTTCTAATAAACTTCCCCCACCCCCCCGCCCCTTAGTGTAAAGTATCTATTGAGCACAGTAGAGCAGTCTCTTGGGGTAGCAGTAGCTGGCTTGTACTGAAATAGAATGAGAGAACTAAAATTCAGTGCACATTGACAAGAGTTAATAAAGACGAGAAAAATCATATAAATGAGAAGATAATATTTAGAGTTGGTCCATGCAAAAATTTAAAGTGCCATTAAATCTATCAAATTTGAAGGGAAAAAATTAGAAGAACTAACACTTGGAGTACTAACATAAGATACAGGATTATATGAATATGGCATTCCTACAGCCAGATGCAACAAGCAATGATGATTTCTCTATTGTATAGAAAACTTCATTAACATTTTGACCGAGTGGGAAAAACCCTGCCTTGTTCAAACAGATCCATGTTCTTGTATTTAAGCAGATGTAAGTAGCATCTGTCAAAGTCAATGTGCATATTTTTTTCCTAAAAATACAACTTATTCCCCTAAGATGGGAAAGAGCTTATTTGTGTCTTCAGCACTCTTTGCAAGCCTTATTTAAGAAAAGTTGTGTCTTTCAGACATGGGGATGAACTTTATTCTTTTCATTGATACTTCCTGAGTTGAGTTCTTTTTATTTCTTCAGTTACATTTGGGAATTATTAATCATGTCATAGTGACCAGGGTGCATAAGGCACCTGCCAAACACAGAGGTAGTCTTTTCCTCCAGGATAGCAAAATCTAAAATACATGACAGATACTATACCTATGAACGGAAATTAAGTTAGTGAGAAAAGAGAAAATGTGTATGTATACCTAGACTAGCCAATTCTATCAGTGGTTGCTTCTGAAGTGAGACTGCAGTCCTGGAGCACTTAGGCTTGTTCTTAAATCTTGACTTCAGCACTATTTTGAGATGAGGTATATCTGAGTGCTGATACAAATTATTCCATTAAAGCCTGTGTCAGTGTGTCATGTAGTTACAACTTTTTCACGTATAGTTGGAATTGGGTTCTGAAACCATTGGTAGGATTAAAACTTAAACATCATGTTGCCCTACCTATATCATCTGTTGTATGTTGTTTAATTTTCTTTTCTGATACTGTGAAAATGTATGTATTACTCAGCTGCATGGTTAGGTATAACTACTCTAATGCAGAAAATGGGAAAATGCCTGCCTGACAGTTTGAGAAAATTCTGTAATATGTAAAAAGTGAATATCTTGTTGTAGAATAAAAGGCAATTTTTCACGTTTAATTCATAACGCTTTGGCAGACTTCTAGTTTTGAGAAACTGAAGTAGGAGCCTACTAGTAAAGCCTGTTACGCCATGTTTCTTTCTTATTTGGTCTTTTTTTTCTGAGCCACATGTTTCTTTTGAGACTATAGTATGTATTTCTACAGATAGTGTTTAGAATATAATAGGTGTGTATCAGAGATAAGTAATTTATGCATCTCAGTATCAGACTTCAAAGACTGTCCTGTCTGCGCTAGAGCTGCAGGTTCAAAGCAGAACTGGTTCACCCCTTCTTTCCTTGGAGGTGGATGAGCTAAGTTGCATGGGGCTTTTTGCGGGGGAATTTCAGATGAGATCTTGAAACCCAAAAGAATGATGCCAGCTGAGGAGCTAGCCCCTAGCTCCTGTTTGCTTTGTGGGAAATACAAATTGCAGATCTTGTTTTTACGCTATCCTTTCCAAAAATGGCTCTTTGCTCTAACTTTTAGGCAGTTTGCATCTAGCTGCTGCCTTCTGTGCTGCAATGACTGCTGTCTGTATATATGTACATGCTTCTGTGAATTCGTTAATTAAAAGGAGTGTTCTGTGCTCATAATAATCCAAAATAATGGAATAAATCTCAATCTGTAAAAAATGCAGGCATTTTACTAATTGGTTTTAATCCTATGTGCTGCATTTTTAAAAGTGATTCAGCTGTACCTATTATAAAACTGTATGTTTCATGCAGTCTTTGTGTAGTTTAACCGTTAAAATTTTGGCACTGAGAATTGCATGTTTTGTTTTGAAAAATTGATTTCTCATGAAATTAGGATTAGAAGAGATGTACTTTACTACAGTGAAACTGATCTTAAAAGACTTATTCAGAAGACCAGTAAAAATCACTTATTGAGAAAAGATTAGTCATTCATTGAAATCAAATGAAATCTTGCAGATAATTGTAGAGCGTGTTCTTTTTGTTTGCTTTTTTTTAATTGGGTTGCCTATTGAAATGGTCTTTAGTAGAAGTTTCACTGTATATTAAATGTATCATACTGTATATTGTATTGGCATGTGCGTGTAGTTTACATATGTGTATATATAGTATTTGCACTTTAGGACAGATTGGAGAAAATATACACACGTGTATTGTATGTTCTGCAAGTGGCACACACAATACAAGTCTGATAACCTGTGCCCTTTATGTTTTGAGCATTATCATGCAAACGTCTTTTGCCAAAACTCACATTTTTTTCCTATTGCAGTTGAATGCACATTTGTCAGAATGTATTAATGCCCCAAGTACCTGTAGTTTTAAGCGTTATGGCTGCACTTTTCAGGTCAGTATATAACAATTATACTTCCCAATTGATGAAAGTCTGCAAATAGAACTTAACACTTTGACATGAAAGTTCTGGACTTCTCTAGTCTTGGTTAAGAAAAAGTTATCTAGTTGCACAAGTGATTATGCAGCAGTTGTTTGGTTTTGCACTTCAAAAATAGACAACATAAAAGGCCCACACGTTCCTGCAATGCTTTAGGAGTTCAATTATTAGGTATATCTTGTTGAAATAGGAAGGTGATATATGTGAAGAACTTCTTTTACTTAGAATAAGAAGAAACTCACTTTTGTTCTTCAGAAAATAGTCTAGTAACTTCAGTTGTTGCTATGAAAGTATTTATTTTCTTGAGCTCAATATGTTTATATTTTCTCTCATTTGTGTGTCTTAATCTTTTTATTAAGATTAAACATAGGATATCCCACTTAAAACATATATTTTTATGTGCATATTCATATGTCTGTGTGCACATAGTTGCGTATTAAAAGCATAGCACCAAATTTATCAAAATTGTAGATTTTAATCCTGGCAGTCACTGTGGTGTTTTAAAAAATAAAACAAAGCCAAGCCCTGAAGTTTAGTTTCAGGAGTATTATTCCAGTCTCTTACAATATTCTGCTTCCTATACCATACATCTTAGGGAATTCTTATGCTTATGTAATGAAGAGATTATTCAGGAAGTTTCAGAAACTGCTGACAGGAAAAAATGGAGTTTATCAGATAGTGTCGTTCATTTGCAAGGCCATGATAACCTAGAGACAAGAACTATAAGCAGCAACACTTCTCAGTAAACTACTTCCTGCAGGTATTTCCAGTTTCTTAAACAACGAACATTCATCCCTTTAGATACTGACAGTACAGTAATGTTCTTAGTGGTAGAACTGATCGGTACTTAGAACCCTGCCCACTGTTATGTCTTATGTATTGCCATTCATTTTATGTATGTATATGTGTGCATATATGTACATATATCCACATATATATTTTTAGTATTTTATATAGAGTGCATACCTTGATGATCATTGAAATCCTTTCAGTTGCTTTACAGCATAACTACCATTGAAGCCAATGTATACCACATTGCAAAACGCTTACTGAAGAAGGTGTAACACAACACAAGACAAATAAAGTAATATGGTCTACATCTTATGTACTCTGTATATGATCTATGTGTGTTCTGTAAACTCTTTATATAGTGGTTATTTGTAACAGCATTTATAGGTTGTGCAGAGGCAGCATATCAGAATATCATAGAGCAATCATGGTAACGTCTTAGGATGACAAACTAGTCATTGTAATATCTCTCCAAGTAGTTCATAAAGCTGGCAGTTTTCAGTGATGATAAATTTATTTTGAATATTTTTCTTTCATACTCAACTGAGGGGAAATTTAGTGCTTTTGAAGCTGTTTATGAAATGTAACACAAGTTTAAATTATGATTTAGGGAATTGGACATTTTAGTTTTTTATGACTCAAGAGTTTTATTGTAATTTATTTAGTACCCAGAAGACTCTAAAACAAAATTCATTTTGTAAATCTGTTAATCTTTGTCATCTCTGATATATTGAGTACATTGGATGGAGATATATGGCAGTTGAATAAAATACTTGCTGTATTAAATGTATTCCTGACTTCTGTAAATTTCCAAGTAGATTTGCCTTCTCTCTACATTTCTCCAACATGCATCCGTGAACCAAAATATGTAGTGTTGGTTCGATGTCTTGATATACTCTTTCTTTGTAGGTTTAAAAGAAGTGGAATTGGCTAAAATGTATAAATTCTTTGTTGTCACAGGGAACAAACCAACAAATTAAAGCACATGAAGCCAGCTCAGCAGTGCAGCATGTTAACTTATTGAAAGAGTGGAGTAATGCTCTAGAAAATAAGGTATATCTTCTACTCACTTCTAATTTTCATTGATTCCTTTAAATCATACCAAAGTACTGGAAGAAGCACTTTCTTTTTTTGTCTAACAGCTGTTCAGCAGTACAGCTAAAGCACCAGTAGGATCCAAAAGTAATCAAGTCACTTAGCATAACTGTACCTTTATTATAATAAAATGCTGTGAGACATTTGGCTTCACAACCCCATATTCAATTTTCCTGATTGGTAACTTAATAATTAAAATAGTCTGTTTACACAGCTAAACTGTCCTGTATTAAATTTCCTCTCCTAGCTACCCCCTTATGAAAGAAAGGGTTCAGGAAACTATGGCAGTTCTATGAGCTGTATTTTTGCTTCCTCATTATTTTTCTGGAGATAAGGTTATTAGGAATGTCGTGTAATAAACCATTTGTTTACTTTATTTACTTTCATTATTGCTCTCCAAACTTAATGACGTGCAAAAGTTGATTAAATTAAACCTACTGTAATTCTTAGGCGTGTTGATTTCTGCTTTAGTGCTGGACCAGAATGAAATTCATGTTGCAGTGCTTCCTTGGTACTCCTGGTTTTTAGAAAATGTTTGGGATTTGGGAGATGCCAGAGATCACATCAGTAATAACTACAGTCTTGTGAATAGTTTAAATGACTTAGCCTTATGTTCTCCAAATAAAATCAAAGCCTTAAAGTTTAAAATATAAACCTTCAGAACAAATCAGTTATCTTAAATCTTTTGGATTGAAGTTGAAAAACTTTTTGCGGGGAGGGAAGGGGGTTTAGGAGTGGGGGAAGATAGCTCACACAATTACTAGAACCGTTCTACAAAGGCAGGCAGAAGAGTCAGGAGCCTCTTCAGGTTTTTCTAGAGTGAGAGGGGCAATTCAGTAAGAGTAAAGATCCCAGTGGGAGCTCAGTGGTGACTGGGTATGCGTGGCTTGTGACTTCTGTCCTCTCACAGCAGATCACTTGCTAGAGTTTAGCAAGCCCTGTCTAGAAACTGTATTCACCATTGGTCCACCACAGTGATCTGTGTCCCATGGATTTCCAACAAGGTCCTGCAGCTGCAGAATTATAGTTCTAAAGCAGAAGTTAACAGGAAGAGCAAAATATGATGGTGTCCCAAGCACCTTTGTCCATGGACTGCGCCTTTTTTTTTTTTTTAAAAAAAAAAAAAAAAACTTGAAGCCCTGTTAGGAAACAGCCTATTAAACCTGGGAGAAGTCTAGGGTAATTCTATTGAGATACAGTTTTTACTACATGTATAAGTTTTAGTTTGATTAATAACAGTATCTTGGTTTGCTTTTGCACCTAAATCTCTGTGATAATATTGGAACTCTATGTTTTTTGATTTTAACACATACAAATTCATACTCTAAGTTCTCTTTTCATTAATCTGGTTAAAACTGTATCATTAGGAAAAAAATGTGTTCCCTTTGATTTCTAGTATAGATCATTTTCTGCCTTTCTCCCAGTGTCCTGGGAGGTGCTTTAGCGTTTAAAAATGCTCAGCAGTTCTGTGTTGGTCTTTCATAGAGCTAAGAGAATAAACACTTTGCTGCATTTTTTTGCGCTCAGGTTTTTTAACGTTCTGTTAGGATGTTATTACTTATCACTGTTTTTTTTTTTTTTTTTCCCTCTCCCTCCTCCCCCCCCCCTTTTTTTTTTCTTTTCACTTCCTGCTTTGTTGACTTCTTCCTATTCATAATAAAGAGTTGAATCATTGGAAATCCCAGGACAGTGCCAAGTTACAAGAATAGCTAACCTCATATCATATGTCAGTGACTTTGTGCTAGAGAAGGGTAATAAAATGATTTGCAACTTTATTGTTCTCTTCTTCCAGATAAAAGTTAATCAATGCACTGTAGGAAGCTAGTGCGAAGTTAACTTAGCTCATGATTGTTACTGGAATCCTGGCCCCCTTTTTAGTTGGTGGAAGTCTTGTCACTGATTTTGGTGGGGTCACGACTTCATTAGAGACGCTCAACTTGATTTGTAGAAGAGGGGAAAGGAGAAGTTGCCTTCTCCCAGTCAACGTGTTCTTTAACAGTGTTTGCAGAGTATGCAAACTGAAAGTCTTCAGAGCTGCAAAGCTTGTGCTAAGTTATGAGTTTTGTATTTGAATGGTAGTGTTGACAAAAAGTAGTAAGAAGAGGTTAGACTTAAAATCTTGAATCAAAACTTTGTGGAGTGCATTGAAATTTGGTGTGTTTTTTCACTCTGGGAACCTGAGACTCGCACAGATTTTTGTGTTATTGGAAATAATGATTTGAACCTAGTTTTGTGGCCTCGTCCCAACCTTAAAGAAATCTGATGTAAAATATTTTTGCCTTTTAAAGTATGACTTAAACATAGGGCTTGTAAGTTTTAATCCAATTCTTTGTGTCATAAAGAAGGTTTTTCATTCTTGTTTAGTAAGCGATAAAGCACAGTACACAATAGCTTAATTTGAAAAAACAGCTAGATAAGCGCCCATGTTAGTATTTCAGATATGAAAAGGGAGTAAAGAAAGATGATTCTTGATGCAGTCTGTAAATAGATGCTGTTTTCTTGATGCTGTTTTCTAGCTTAAAATTAACTCACATTCAAAGGCTTATGCCAAATCCAATTAGGAAACTATATACATTTAATACTAAAGATTTCTTATTCACAAATTACCACTGAACTACAATTACTGAGTTAGCAATGGCAGTTCTGTATGATGAAGGACTGCAGGACATAATACTATTTCTCTTGTGTTCTGTAAAACGGTGTGGAAAATCTCAGGACAAGACAGGCCCACATATTGTAGCTTGTACAAAAATGGAAATGTAACGCTAGTGACACAAAAGCGCAACTGCCTTATGATTAGGAGACCTGCGGAGGAAACAATGAGAGAAGAGGAGTGTAAAGATCACAATTAACTAAATAACTTTGATTCCTTAAGGAAAAGGAGGATGCAAAATTAAAGTAACTACCCAGCAGATCTGAAATGTGTGGGAGGCAGGGTACTAGTTTAAATTTCTACTTGTTCTTGAAAAATCTGCTCTGGTTTCTAGGCATGTATTCCTTCAGCATCAGGATTTTCGCTCTCCGTACTGGCCAAACTAGCTTTAGCTCATTTCTATGAGCCTCTTCTGCTACTTTTTCATATATAAAATGAGCAACTAATGTGTGTGTGTGTGTGTGTATATATCTACCCACACACGCTATACTATATCAAAAATGAGATGCCTATAATAGGAAGTATGGTCTCTCTGTATATTTTTGGGCTGCTATCCAATGACTATGCTGAATGTCTGCAGGCCTTTGGCAATCCTTTTTTGTCCAGTTTAAGCTAGAATGGGGAACAAAATTGTTTACTGTTTTATATAGCAGGCTAGCTCCTTGAGTGTAGGAATGAAGTGGCATATAAGTAATACAGTTATGTCAGATCAGAGGTTAGCTAAGGTAGTGGACTACCACAGGCGTGTCCACATCAGAGGTAAAAATTGCTTGACTTCATAAACTATAGCAACTGTATTGAGATGGGTTAGATTCTTTTGGGACATGAAGCATCTGAATAATTGATCTAATAAAACGTTTGAAAACATTTCACATTAAGATCAAAAATGGTGCTGCTTCTTATCCATCTAAAGATCTAACTTGGGGTCTAATCAGTCAGGCCATGTCTAAATGTCTTTTTGGTTTGGATGTTTGTGTTCTCTTTTCTACAATTTTGCAGCTGAATAATCTTGCCTGAGGAAAATGAGATTAAAATAAAAGAAAAAAACAGCACAAAACAACTCCTCCCCCCGCGCAACCACGTTAATGAACAGAGCACGAAATAGGGTGTATCTGCAGTGACAGAGAATATCTACAGTATTACTTTCATCTCCCAGGAGATATAATACATGATATTCTTGTAACAAGGCTCGTGTTTTAAAATCAGAATGAGTCACTAATGAACAGATTCATAAAATGTCTATACAGAGAGAGAATATAACGCACAGTCTGCCCCTCTGGCTCTTCAGTTGTTCTCTGTTAGGAGACACCACTGGATTTTCCTTCAGATGCATGGATCCCTTTGGTATGACCTCATCTCAGTAGTTTTCATCACCATCACCCTCTGTGAAGCCAAGCCAATCCCATGCAGATGCCATATTCATGCAAACTTGCTATAGATAAGATTAGATTGGAGTGGGTGGGGAAGATTAACTCTCCTTTCTCTAGCTAGCTTTTCAGCTCTTCTCTGGCATTCTTGTCTGTGCAGGGCTCGGGTTCTTAACAGCAGCCTAGAACTAAATGGGTTGTTTCCTCCAAACACCAAGCCACTCCTAAGTTAGTAAGTTGAAACCAGGAAACCAAGCTATTAAATAGCAGAACAGATAAAGGGAAGGTTATGCTTAGACGTAAGTTCTACTGCTGTTTGTGCATCTGTTCTTTATTAGGCTAAATTGTACCAATACCACTTTGTGGAAGCGGAATAGTCGCGATCAGAAGCCTTTTTTTTTTTTTTTTTTTCCCCCCCCTCCTGGCAAGACATGGAGAGAGATTTTACTAGGATCTCATCTCAGTCATATATGTAAGATAGTTTAAAAATATTGAAGTTTTAGGTATTTTTAATAAACTTTGGCAGGAGTAATTGTAGAATTTTTTCCAGGTGGCCTTGCTCCAGAATGAAAGTTTGGAAAAGAACAAGAGTATACAAACTTTACATAATCAAATTTGTAGCTTTGAAATAGAAATTGAAAGACAGAAGGAAATGCTGCGGAATAATGAATCTAAAATACTTCATTTACAGGTAAGACATTTAGAATCTCCCCATTAAAGCAGAAATGGTAGTAGCTTCTGTTCTATGCCTTTACACTTGTGAAGTGAGGTGTTCTAGGGGGGGAGAGCTTACCTTATTATAAAGGTATTCTGAAATTTTCTTCTTCTGGTCAGTAGCTGGTCTGCCATGTTTGTTGGAGTAAAATACTTTGCCAAAATATTACAGTTTCCTATCCCATGTTAAAACAGAAGATTTATTTAAAAAGAGAAAAAATTAAAAGCAAAATTACAAATACCACCTGAAGAGTCGTCGTCATTATTTTTTTTGCTCTCTGTGTAAAAAAAGAAAAAAAAAAGTTTGCTTGAGGAACTACTGCCAAATTGAAGGAAAATACTAGGCCCTGTAATGTTATATATTTATTGTATGTTTCTTTTCTACTTGCTGACCTATTGAAAAAAAATTCATCATGGGTGAAAAGGCTGGTTTGGAATTAATCTAAACCCAGTGCAATGCATTTGAACATATTTTTTTAAATTCTTGTTTCTGTTGTCTTTGAGCCTTCTGAGGAAAATGTATCTATATAGTCTTTTACCAGTAGGTCTGAATTTCATTTTGTGCTCTGAATCACCTGGCTATAAGCCAGCGTCAAACCAGAAGTCTTGTGAATGCTCTAGCACAGTGCTTAGCCCAAGCTGAAATACTTTGCTTTGTATTCAGAGCTGACTTGGAATGTAGGTGCTGGGAATTTGTGTTACGTTGCATGATGTTAACCACAATTAGGTAAACCTGAGGAGGCATTTGGCAGAAGGCATCATTTACACATCATTATAGCATGTCTACTTCTAGAATACCAGATGCCTGCTTTAGCCTCCACCTTAAAGGAATGTGAATAACAGTGTCGTGTTTACTTAATAAAGAAAAAACTTTGATGCTTGAGAAAAGATTAAGTATCCGAACTACAGTATGACTGAAATTCAAAGGGTAGCATATTCAAGAGCTTAGAGCCATGAGACCCTCAATGTTGGTTTATAAGGAAACCTGTAAGTTTGTCAACAACAACATTTCTCCTTACCACTTAGTTCTTGCCATCTTCTGTCTGCATAGTAACCAGTCTAGCGCTGCTTAGTCATTGCTGTTTGGTCTGATGATCATTTAAGATATGGATGAATGCTTACAATATTGCATTCTGACCCTGGGAAGGTAAATCTTGTAATTATTGGTATTGCTGATTGAATCTACCAGGAGGTAAGTTAATATGGAAGAGTGGCTTTTTACACATCCTTTCTCAATCTGTGATGTGAAAGGAAATGGATAAAAGTAGAGCAAAGGTTTTCATGATTGTCTTGACAACCAATTGCAATGTCTCTGATTTTCCCAAGCTGTAAGAGTGTTACCAGAATAAATTTTCAAGTGGTTTGTGTTCAGGAAGAAAAAATGGTTGGTAGATTCCAATGGGTGGCTTTTTGGTTGTAACAAGTAGCGGAGAGAGTATTTTTGGTTTTTGTGTCATTTTGTTATGTTTTCTCTCCCTCCTCTTCCTCTTTACTGCTTCTCCCCAGCTATTTTAGTTATTCTAAGCCAAACTCTGTTTTAGAGCTGTTTCAGCCTTATTTCTTCTTTTTACTGGAACTCCCTTTTTCAGTTAGGTTGTTAAGGGCATTCTGGAAGTGCGCCTCAATTTGTTTTTCCTTGGGCAATTTGATTAGCCTCCTTCTGTTGCCTGCTAGGAGTTGAAGAAATTAGTTCCCTCTCATGAAACATTCTGTTTCCAGACGGTTGAGCAGCCATGGCTATGCCGGAGCGATAGATACTTCCAATGTAGACCTACAGATATTATTGACTTAGTCTCCAGGTCCTATGCATGCTGGTAATTTCCAGTACAGTTTCAATAAAAGTTGTCATGCGACTTTCTTTGGCTTGGGAGCAACTGTTTTGTTGAGCGCAGTAGGCATTGTCTGCACTGTGAGACATTTTAGTGCAACGAGTGTAAAAGCATCAAAGGTGTCTGGGCACTGGCAGAAACCTCAGCCTTGAGATCAAGTTAATTTTCTATATACCAGTCTCCAAGGAAAGTGTTAGTGCTTTTTCTGGCTCATTTCCACTAGCTTTACCAAGAGGGCATGTGATATTTTCTCGATGGCTATCTTGTGGAAAGGAACTTTCACATCCAGTATCCAGTCTCTCTTATGAGAGTACATGGAAGCATTCTAGCAAGGCAAGTCATAAGCTGAGTGTGGACATGTAATACTTCAGACAAAAGAAGGAATGACCTTACAAATACAAAATTATTAGGTAGATAATACATTCCCTCACAGAAGGAGGATGCACAGTTTGTTTCTCCAGTTAAGCAGTACCTTTTCCTTCCTTTCTTTTGCTTTTCAGTTTTGCTATGTTAGTTACAATGGAAAGGTCTGCTGTGAACATCTAAAAGATGGATGACTGCAAATACAGCTTTCTTTAGTTCCTTATGAAATTTGCTAAATTCTTTTAGTAGTAATAGTGCTAAAATTCTGGAAATAGTTTATTAAGAATACAAAACAAAAACTACATTAAAATCAACATCCAAAAGAACCCTGAATGGCTTACCAGACATAGAACTGTGGATTAATGATATGGAGAGTTGGAGAGTCAGTTGCTGGAATAGAAATTCCATGCAGAAAATTGATATCTACTTGGAAATTTATGAGTACAGTGTGAGACATCTGTGTGCTTTCTAATACCATAATTAGAGAGAGTGAAATTCTCCACCGCTACATTAAATTCAGATTAAGTACGTCAGTATCTCCTGGCATGAGACTCCTCTGGCTTCCTGTTGAGTAAAAAGATAAGAGATCTCAGTGCTTTTCAGAAATGGAATAGAGATCTATTTCTGTTGATTGTTCAAGGCTGAATTATCATGAAGAATTACAGGAGGTAAAATATTATACATTTGCTGAGAACAAGCTAAAAACCAAAATAGGTTATGGTTATGTAGAGGTAGAGTATTGCATATGGATTAGTGGAGAGGAGCCCTTAGTAACAACTCTCAGAAAACTTTCTCCCAGAAGAAAAATAGCGTACAGTTCTTCTGCGTCTTTACCACTTTCCTGATTCATCTGAAAATGTGTTTGTTTATTGTATTTGATACTGTGTTCGTGCCAAGTGGTCCTAATTAGAAGTTAGAGCCTCTCTGTATGAGCCACTGTGCAAACCCGTAGCAATGTTATTGTTCCTGCCTTGGAGAGTTCATTTGCTGAGAGTGGAGGGGAAAGATCAGATCTAGACACGCTTTACACTTATTTTTGCATGTTAACTGTAAACTGCTGGCCAAATCTTATGGCTTTGCTCCCACAGTGTTGATCCAGGCCACTGCATCGTATGTTTCATTGTATATGTATGGCTAACAACAGTCCTCTGTTTTGTTTTTTGATTACCATCAGTCCAAGAGAAGAGGGCATGAACGTGTTGGTAACTGATGAATAGTATGTCCAGGCAGGTTACTTAATCTATTTAATGGGCACACAGCCCATATATTTGAGATTCATTGTACAGCTTTCCTTCACGAAGTCATAATTTTTGAATTTACACACACACACACACACAAAAAAGCTTGTTTTAAAGCACCAACACAGAAGTAAATAGTTAATCTTGTAATTAGCTATATTAGTAGTTTTGAGATGCAACAAAATAAAACCCTCCTAGAACATGATGATTTTGCTAGTTGGCTTGTCAAATTGACAGCCTTCAATTAATCATTACCGTCTTTCAGTATAACTGAAACCACGTGATTAAAAGCAAATGTCTAAAAGGGGAAGTGAAGGTTGCATGAGCCAGAAGGGTTTTCCCCATCAGTGGGGAACACTGAATTCACATGCCTGACCAGAAAGCAAGAGCAAAATAACCTATATTTTCTTGTTTTATGCTCAAGAGCTACTTTTTTTTTTCCTAAGAAGTGAAAAATCATTTTTACATACGTTGGCACTATATGATACTATACGTAAACTATAAAGTTAGATTTGGAATTTAACTGTAGCTGGTAGCAAAAGTAGTTTCTTGTCTCTAATATTTCTGTTATCATTTGAACTTCACAACTGAATATGGGGTTCTGGCTAAAATTCCTGCTAGTCCAACTTAGCTGTGACAATATAAAATACTATGTATTTCTTGCATCAGGTTTGAAGTAGACTGGGGAATGTGTTCTTTATGTTTATAAGGCACTGAGGTGCTTGCAATATCCCTCTTTCAGGGAATAGTAGGCTTTCGATATTTCTTGAATGTAATATTTCATGGCTTTCCAAAATCCACAAAACACCTTCAGAATGCATGGGTTATTCAATTTAGGAAGTAAGGATGGGCATTTTAAAGGTATTTAAGGGGTCAGAAGTGCTAGTTCTACTTACCCTCTTCAGGGCTTCTGCTCCTAAGGATATGGGCACACAAAGCTGTTACTAAAGCGCAAGTTACCTTGTGAACTTGCAGCCTGCTGCTAATGCAGTTGTATCTGCATGTGTGCATACTTCCGCTCCATGTGGAGTGTAAAAGTGCTAACGTTGCTTTGACCCCTTGATAAACACATGCACACGGGCAGCCACTTGATTTACACTGTGGTAAGTTATTGCTGTGCCTGTAGTATGTTGCTTAAGTACTCTTGAGTGAAATGAAACAAATACCAGCCTGGAATATCAGTACAGAGTCGTTTAGAGTATTGTTCTTACATTGAAAGTTTATGATTTTTTTTTTCTTTTTAGGCAAGAGCACATTACCATTTTTTTGTTTTCTTTTTAAATAATTGCATTGATTATTCTGACAGCACTCTAATACTATTTTCAAAGTGTTTTATAAATTCTTGGGCTTAGCAATGCTTTTAGTTAAAACTTTGTTTTGCAATTGATGAAAGCTTAGATGTCCAGAGACTTCTCTGAGGTCATGTAATAGAGGAGGATAGCTCTGCAGAAATGTTTGCATAAATTTTTTAAATTTTCTGTTTTTAATTCCATCCTTATGGTTTTGAATTTTAAGGGCTTTGTGCTGTTAAAATGTTTGACCTTACTAAAACTTGTTTAGAATTGAAATAAATCTTGTTATCGATATAAAATCCTTGTTTAACTTGCATAAATTATCTTTTTGGTTATTTTGAGTTTTCTTTTAACTCTAATTTATTGTTTCGTAAAGCGAGTGATAGACAGTCAAGCAGAGAAACTGAAAGAACTGGACAAAGAAATCCGCCCCTTCCGACAAAACTGGGAGGAGGCTGACAGCATGAAGAGCAGTGTAGAATCCCTCCAGAACAGAGTGACTGAGCTGGAAAGTGTTGATAAAACTGCAGGGCAAGGAGCTCGAAACACAAGTAAGTGTAAGCACAATGGACTGAAATACTACACAGCAGTTCTGTCATAGGAAAAATGATATCCCTTGAACGTCACTCCTGTTGTGATTTTTTTTCCTATGGAAACAGCAATAATGCTGATCCTTCTGCTTCTTGAATAGGAAACTGAGTGTGTTGTTCCTCTGTTAATGACGTGGTTATCCACCTGAAACCACCTGTTTTGATATCTGTTACAGAGGGGAATATTTCATCCAAAGAATACTGTGAGACCTGTTTGAGTGCTTGCCGAACAAAGTGAAAACTGAATTTTGTCAAGATAGCCTCATAAGTAGATCATATTTAAGAGCTCAAACAATCAGGCTAAGGAACTTAATGTTTAAATAAAATTGCGTAACATAAACCTGCCTTACAAGTGCATCTGCTTCTCTGTATTGCATGTTGGCCAACATTGCCAGGATGCCTTTCATGTGAGGGAAAGGAAGGAGACATTAAAAACAAAACCCTCTCCAAACTAAGTACATGATCACATAATACAGAATAATACTTAGCTTGAATTTTCTGTTCTATTATGATCAACTTTAGAAAAGATGCAGCATCTCTTTGGGTAATCAGTGGTGCTTCTGAATTTCAGAGTGATTGTATAGGATCTGTGACCCCTTCTAAAGGCCTGCACTAGTAATAGTAATCTGCAGATAATGCTATTAAGCCTTTTCTCAAAAAAATGAAAGCCTCTGTGGTTACATTGCTTGGTGACCAGAACAGTATTTGTGTTAGATGACTTGAATATTGGAAATATTTACTGTGTGTGTGATTGACACCCATGTTTGTAAAAATCCCATTACTGGTTGGCAAACTATAAGTGAAAATTGTTTTGAAAGTGACCAAATAAGGTCTGGTTCTTAGGGAAGAAAGTGTTTTCCAAAGAAGCATTAGGTGACTTTTTTTTTTTTTTTTTAACGCTCTTTAGAAAATGCACTTTTCTCACACCTATCCTTCCCATTTTCTAACAGGCCTGCTAGAGACCCAGCTGAGCAGACATGACCAGATGCTGAGTGTTCATGATATTCGGCTGGCTGACATGGACCTCCGATTCCAAGTTTTAGAAACTGCCAGTTACAACGGAGTATTAATTTGGAAAATTCGAGATTATAAACGTCGGAAGCAAGAGGCAGTCATGGGGAAGACTCTGTCCTTGTACAGCCAGCCCTTTTATACTGGATACTTTGGCTACAAGATGTGTGCCAGAGTTTACCTTAATGGAGATGGCATGGGAAAAGGGACGCACTTGTCGCTGTTTTTTGTCATAATGCGTGGAGAGTATGACGCGTTGCTTCCTTGGCCGTTTAAGCAGAAAGTTACTCTTATGCTAATGGATCAGGGACCGTCTCGACGCCACTTAGGAGATGCCTTCAAGCCAGATCCAAACAGCAGTAGTTTCAAGAAGCCAACTGGAGAAATGAACATTGCATCTGGCTGTCCAGTTTTTGTGGCTCAAACTGTTCTAGAGAATGGAACGTATATTAAAGATGATACTATTTTTATTAAAGTCATAGTGGATACATCGGATCTACCAGACCCCTGACATACAATGGGGGAGGCAGATTAAACAGAAGACAACTCCATTTGGGGGTTTTATATCAGTTTGTCTTCAGTCAGAGGTCCTAAAGCTCACAGAACCACCTTGTGGAACAGAAAGAAGAGTTTGAAGGCATAACTGCATAGGGTCCAATTGTGAAAGTAGTAACACATTAAGAAATCATACCATGGTATATTTTTTAATAGAACTAGAAACACTTAAACTCTGAAGAATCATTTATCCCTCATGAGGGTAATGATTATTGTCAGAGATGGTTTTTTTTTTAACTTATTAATGATCAGTAGTCAATTGGAGGTGAAAAGACAAATACAGTATGTGCTGAATAAATTACTGACTTTTATTCCTTTAAGCTAGAATGCAAAAAAAAAAAAAAAGTTCACATGTGGGCTAGCTGGAAATTGTCAGCATGTTAAAAGAAGAAATGATGAAGTAATGTTGCAATTATGATATTATTTGAAAAACTGAGGTGCAATCTTGTCTGAAATATAGTATATTGTCTTTTTAAGGCCTCATCTGGTCTCTGTTTTAATAATTACTTTGTCAGAAGATGTTGGAAAAGTATCCATGTCTTCTCAAAAGTATCTGAATCAAAATCATATTTTTATTTAAAGTTCTATTGTTACAGAAAACATTTTGTTTTAAAACTGTTGATAGACTGATATTTCTTGGAAGAAAAATAGAAGATATCAAACACTGGTTATCACTTGTGATAGGAAAAAAAACTATTCAATTCTGTTATTTCTCTTTAGAAATGTAAACCTACAATATGTCGTAGTTAATGACACTATTTCAAAATTAAGGAAAAATCACTCATGGATGCTGTGCATCATTATCAGATTTATAATTGTTTTCACCCTAAAATAGGGCATTTGTTGAACTTTGGAGTTCTAAACGGAATCCTGTACATTTTTTAAAGTTCTGCCCCATGCTTTCCGATCAAGCTATATATGTTGCACATTATGCTGTCAGCAGTATATAGTATTTTCAGTATTGGGGAGGAGGATTAGTGCTGAGAAGAAGCCTATATGTTTGTTCTGTACTAGCAGCCATTGCTTCTTAAGGACAAATCAGCAGTGTCTTAATGCAGTGATGGTGGCTTGCATGCATACATGTGCCTTAGATGTGCTGTGCTGCTTATAAACCATAGCTTTTTATTCAGATTAATTCTGATATCTGAAATGGTAGTTTAATTGGACGTCAGGCATAATGTTTAGCCTTGTCTTCAGAGCCCTTAGATACCTTGTGATGTGCTAAATAGAAGCCTAAGTCCATTTCTTTTGGTCACTGGAGCTTCTACGACTTGGCCATGGCGAAATCCATCTTAATCAGGTGCCGAAACGTTATGCTCAGTGCTCCTATGGAGCTTGGACTAGACAGTCTCCATGGCCGCTGTGAAGAAAGGTGACATTTTCCTCTAATGCCTGTGGTTGGAAAGTGGCATCACCTTAAACGGACTCATCTGAGAATTCGGTGGGGCTGTGAATGTATACGCTCATAGCAGCTTCTCATAGCAGACAAGCATCCTAACAGGGAGTGCACAGGCTTCCTCCTTGTATCAGCCTGAACACTTGCGGAAAGCATTTGCAAGCCCTGGAACATGCTGATTGCAACCTGCTGTGTTCATCTGCTTCTATTTAATGGTCTGTGACAAGCAAGTCTAGCGACATAGCCTGACTGTGGTGCTTTTTAAAATCTGAGAACTGCTTAAGCAGAGCAGATTGCACCACTGCATTTAGCCTTTGTGGGCTTGAAAGAAGACGGTGCGCCTTAGTCGTTAACATCAGGTTGTGTCAGTTTCTGCTTTCTGAGGCATAGTCACGATTTTTGTCTAAGGTGCAGTTGAATTCATGCCTTTGTATTTCAGCTTGTCTTTGCTGTTGTCTTTTTTGGCTGTGCCTTCACACACAGTGCCTGCAAAAAGTATTTATGATTATACAATGCATGCTAAGTGATCTTCATGGGTTTTCCAGGCACCTGCTAGAATACTGCCTGCTACTGACAGTCAGAGCCATCAGTAGCAACTTGTCTTCCTGTTCTTGCCTTCCATTGTCCAGGTACTGTATTCCCTTTATGGTACATAGCTGTCAACCAGTGCAAGCTAAAATGTGGAGGCATGTGCTAGCACTTGACTTCTAGCACAGGAGGAGGACGTTCTGCACAAGAGAGAAATATCTATAGATATACCCACGTCTGTATCTCTAGATATAGCTATATGGCACTTGCAGTTTTATGCAGGCTGCATAAGCAAACCCATCACTTAGGCTTTTGGGCGAAGGTTCGCTCAACTTGTGTCATTTTAATAATTGTGAATGTAGGCAGCTGAGCTTTTGTGTTTGTGCATCACAGAATTTTACTGAAAACAGGATTCCCAAGTGGAAATGTCCAAAGGACTCTCCTCCCATTGCTAATGCATGTCTTGTTTAAAAAAAAAAAAAAAAAGTTTGACCATCTCAAGAGAGTTTATAGCCTGTTTCCATCTGGGACTTGGAGGAGATTTCTGGTATAAGCATGGCCCAGCATGTTCTGCAGATTTGTGACTGCAGTTTCCAACTCCTGTGACAGAATTGTGCTTCTAAATCCAGGCTCTTCAAAAGAGGGGGGGGGGGGCGGGAAGTTTCCATCCTTTATGATTGAAAGAGGACTTTGAAACGTGAGAAAAGTGTAAACTAATAGGGAAGTCTTCCTGAGTCTGCACACAGCCTAAACCAGTAGCTTTAAGAGATCTGAATATCCCCTCTTAGTGGGATATTGACTCAGAAACTTCATAGTTTAAATATGAACACTGCTAACTGTATTAATGCCGATCACTGTAGCAGAAACATCAGTCACTGTTCTTATTTCACAGATCTCTATGCTGCTTTCCACATCTCCCAAGTGCCAAAAGCACCAGCTGCCAAAATCTTCAGCTTCACTTGGGCAGCTTTTATAATGCAGTAATGTGCTATCAATATAAAAATATTTTTGCATATATGCTTTTTATCACAGTTAATAAAATGGAGGCCTACTGCACTTATTTTGTAAAACTACATGAAGCTGCCAGAGAATTTCCAGTTTGCCAACCCTGCGTACTGTGAAATCCAGGATCTTGCTACAAAATGTAAACACCGCCTGCTGTGGAATACCTGAAGCCTTGACTGTAACACCCTTTTTTCTGCAGAACTCGCAGACTATCTCTGTACAATTCTTACTGTGTACATAGAAATAGGTTTCCTCTGCTTTCTGGCAAGGAGTATGTAGCATTTTGTGAAAATAGGGCCACTGTATGTTCTCTAAATTGAAAAGAAAGATACCTGGTGCTTTATACATCACTTTTAAATAATGTAAGTTTTTCTCTCATCATTTGAAATGCCCTTTTTCCCCCTGTTTATTTCTGATCCAGGCATCCAAACGTTTTTAGGGACTGTCTACATCAAATGGTTCATAGGGCAACAATCTGCTCTCAGATATGTTCTTGAAACACAGCTAAGTTGTGTGGGGTGCCATGAATGCACAGAGGTCCCAGAGCATTACCATGAATAGGATTTCTTCAGTGGAACCTTTTTCCTCTGCTTAGAAATTCTTAGCAGTGCACAACTGAAGTCTGTTGCTGGTATTCTTTCTTAGTGATGACTTTCCAACTTACGTACTTGCCTCTCCCATTTCCGGCTTTGTCTAGCGAGACTCCAAGGTATGAGAAGCTGGACGTTGCCCTTCTTAGACACTGCATTATGGGGTGTGTGCATCCTTTATTTAGAAAGTCTCAAATTCTAAACAGGATGGAACTATTTCAGTGTTTAAAGACCAAACTGCAATCGTTACGCATGACCATGTCTGCATTACTTCTCTGATCTAGTTGAAGGGGTCTTGTTTCAGTTACTGTCTACATGGTACACCTTCATGACTTAAGTCAACTGCTGACTTACAATATGCAATGTTGATTTCGGGCCTTGTACTGTAAATGTTCTTCACAAAGAGAATGTGCAATAGGAAAGTGGGAAGGGTGGCATAATTTTGATGGAAAAATGTTGTTGGTAACATGCTAGTTGTCTTATAAATACGAAATGCAGTTTAATTTACTTTTTTCAGTGGGTTTTCCTACTTGGAAAAGGAAAGTTGAAGATACGTGCCTGTTTCTGTGCCTGGTTATCATGCAAAGATAGCAGATCTATGTTAGTTGTAATTTAAGTGTTGAACCCATGAAATGTTAGGTTGTGATTGTATTGCTCATTTTTCTCAGATTGCCACAGTTACGGGTTGTTGAGATTGAGTTTAAGAGCTACCACCTATTTGTATCTGTATTCCATCCTATGGAATAGGCATTTCACCAACAATGCAGTGGTTTGGATTTGGGGTTGTTCTTGCTTGTTTGTTTTTTTTTTTAATTATTTTAATTTTATTTTATTTTTTGTTTTAAGCAATGGTGCTGTTTGGTCCAAGACAGAGAAGCATCTAGAGAGTGACATGAAAAGTTGCCTGCACCTCAGAAGAGTGAAAAATGTTACTGCAGTATTGATGCCTTCACATGTTTTAACTATGCAAATATACAAATAGGTGAGGGGGAAAAATTCTTGGGTTGCATACCTAGTCTCTTATTTTTTGCTCTTTAAAACGCTCGTACATGTACAGATACATACATATACACACAGACATGCATGCACATATATATGCAAAGTCTTTTCTTTATGTAGAAGTGATGAAACAAAACCCTATCCCTCAAGTTATACCTGATCAAGTGCTGCAAATGTAACTTGCTGCTGCTAAGGGAGCGTCTTGGCTAAGGGCAAACTTTAGAGTCTCATTTTCCAGGTTTGAAGACCTGTGTATATATGGCAAACAAACTGTTCTCTCAGATTGGAAATGAGCGGTTTGCTTAGCCTTTCTGAAGACCTTGGAATGTCATCTAGGACACATGTCCTTCCTCAAGCTCAGCTAATTAATAGATTCATGTATTTTAAACAAATACAGTGATGGGCGCCTTGTTAATAGCAAATTCAGTCTTTTGGGGGAGGGGGGGGGGGAACGGGGTGTGGAGGAACAAAAGACGATGATAAGCATCTGGACCTCTTCCTGGAATTTCTATCCTGTTCAGTCAATACCTCTATATTCTGATTGATGTAGAAATCATAGCTGCTGCAATAAAAACAATCAATTCTGGAATTCAGTCTGAGAGTAGTTTTAGTGCTATGTACAGTGTAGTAAGCACTTTGCATCTGCAAACATTTTCTTACAGCAAGTACTATTTGCCTTTCCTAGAAAAAGGAAATTGAGGCTGAGAAATGAAGTGACTTGCCCAGAGTCACAAAAGGAATCTCCTGGAGCCAGGACTACATGAGAGGTTCCAGTTCCCTAGTGTTATGTTCACTTCTAATATATTTGTCTCTTAAACGAGCTGAAAAACAAGTTGGCACACCTTGAAGGACCCCCATCAAGACAGTAAGGGCTAGAATTAAACATAGAAGCTGTCATGATTTGGGGTTGTACGTACGTGGTGGCCCAGGCATTGCTAACTACTTAGCTGTGCTTTGTGCAGCTTGCAGCGTGGAAGGCCAGCACAATGTGTCTATGTGAAAAACAGCAGCAAATGTCAGTGTCCTGCTCTGCTTGTTGAGAATTGCCCAGCCAAATAAGCCTCTTTTTATACTGTTCTTAATGGAGCAAGGAGAACAATACCATTTGAAAGTAAAGTGGATTAATCTTGGTTCTACAAGCTATAATGCGACTGACCCTTTCTTTCTTGTGTTTTTTTTTTTTCTTTTCTTTAAACCAAAATATGGAGGGCTTAACTGTTCTTTCCTGCCTTTTAATCCAGGCCTTTGCTGAGAAGCACCAGATAGATGAGGGTTTTGGAAAACTTTGGAATGCTGATTCAGGGACATCCTCTTAAAATTTAGAAGAGCAGAGATATACAACACACAAGGGATCTGACTCTTCTTATTTCTCTTCTAATTTATGGGCAAGACTGCAGCTTTTGTCTTCCATTTCATGATCTTAGTGTAGATACTAGGCTGTGTTTTTGTTGTTGGTTTTTTTCCTCCAAGTTAGGATTAGTTCCTTAGGGTTCAAATAAGTTCTAAATTTCACAGAGAAGCGCCTGAACCAAAATCCTGGATCCAAACATCCCAGACTTGATGTGAAATTCAAATCTGGATCCCGACTCTGTGGCTTACTAACCTACCTATTTAGGGAAGGGTTTGTCGTCTGTATGTGGTGTTTGTCTTTTTGGTCCTTTGGAACTAAGCTTTTAATTTGGTTGCCAGTTCTGCAAGGACTTTTTAACTTCTTAGCAATGCCGGTGTTCACACGCTCCATTGCTGGCAGTGTGATGCGTAGTGATAAAATTTGACTCTGTCTAAGGGTTATTGAGATAAACCAGCATTATCATTCGTGAAGGTCATTTTCTTGCGTAGTGTTCTGAGCTTCGAATTTGAACATAGCTCGCATTTGAAAGGACACATCTTCCAACTATGACCTGCATCACTGGCAGAGAGTTGTATAATCTGTACTTGTGGAATGGGAAGGTACAAGCTTCCATTGTTGCTGATGCATCGTGTGATCCACCAGTTTGTTTTTCTTATAGCTATTGTTTGGTTTATATATTTTTTCAGTTTTATAGAAAAAATAGGGGAAGTTCAGGATTTTTTCTACAAGGTATATAACTCCAATGACTAAGTGGTGACTAGAGAGCTGTGAAAAATATCCCATTAGGAGATGATGGGCTAAACATAGGTCCATTTCTCTTTAGACAAGTAGGATAACCTTTAAGATGCAACATAATAATTGGGAAAACTGAGGCTGACATTTGTTTCCAAGAAATTCTGTAAGAAATATTTATGGAAAAGACATCAGTGATCAAGAAAAATGTACAAATTAATGTGTTTAAAACTTGTGTAACCATTTCTTAATCTCATACTCTTCAGTGAACGGTACACTTGTGTTCAGTTTTATGATCAAAAACAAAGACCAAAGAAGGCCAACCTCATTTGATTGTGTATATTCTGCCTGTCTTAATTATCAATAGCTGTAAGGATACAGTGCAAGTGATCTGGTAACCAGTGGTTCTTGTCTTTTTTCTTTACTTTTTTTTTTTTTAGAGGAAAAAAATGACTTTAAAAATGTATAATTTATTGCTCAGCAATAACCATGTTGTTAAAATAATAATAATAAAAAGGAGAATTAGCAACATGTCTTAATTTCCCAATAGCATTATTATATGTTGTATTTCAGTTTATTGTATATTGTGTTTTTGTATTTATTTGTGTTTGGAGGTCTTGCTACGTCTTTTTGTGTTTAAATGCTAATAAACAAGGAAAGTGTGTAAGAGTGTAGAATGCAAAACTCTGAAATGCTAAACTGTGTTATTAAAGGAAAAATAAATCTAAGTAGGAAATCATATTTTTTAAAAAAAAAAACTGTTGTGTTGAATTTGAATGACTGGTGTTTACACACAAACAGGGAAGGGT